AATTTGCATTGAGGATTAATCTCACGGCTATATTAATTTTAATAAAAATTAAATGTTTTCAATTAGTTTAGATTGGCTAGTAAGGGAAAAACACAAAGACAAAACTGAGGCAGTGAGCCTTACAATGCCTCCACTGATTTCTCCACTGGCCCTTCCTCTGCACATGGTCAATTAGAATTGAAAATCCTGTGCTGATTTCATTCGCTGGAATTTTTAAGCAGGTCAGGAAGAAAGATGTTATTGAAAGGAAAAGTCTCATCTAAATAAGAAAGGAGCACGTGGCCATCTGGTCTTAGCTATACATATAAAAAGTTATTTCAGCTGAACTGCAGGCTTGATGTTTAAAAAGATGTGCCAAGAAATCAACCCCAAATCTGTTTACGGTAAAATATCCCAAATGTTTCTTTTTCAACCTCTAAATATGCAATACACAGTTCATTTCCTATCTGTGATTCATGAGCCCATTTGACCCCAGCGCCTCACTGAGCTTGACTGAGTTTCAGGCAGTGGAACATTCAATCACTCTTAGAACACTACTCCTTAATGGGATATCAACAGGACCGTGGGTCTTTTGAAAATTGTGAAAATAACTTGGATAGTTTTCACTCAAATTAATTTTGAGTGCTGTCTGCATGTAGGCTAGAAAGAATAAAATCTGAGGCATGAGGCAACCAAACCAATTTTCTTTCTTTTCTCATTGTGATTTGAGGTTCCTGTGCATTCTCTGTGCAGTGCTCAGGCATCTACTCAAAATAATTTCAGGTCTCAAGCCTAAAGGCAAGTTTCTTAAAAAAACACAATCTGTTCTTTCATAAAGAGAAATTATGAGCATGAGTCTACTTTTAGAAATCATCTTCATAATGTTAAAAAACAAAGTTTTTCTAAAAAATAACATTTTATACTGTTTGCCACATTAAAGTCATATCTTTTGATACGATTGAAATATGTTTTGTTTTGAGACATTTGCAATTACATCAATACATTAATTTAGCCATTATCTGAGTAGGTCCCCCTGCTAGCATAGACCTAGCTATGTTGACCTCCCCATCTAAATTTCATTGTATTAGAATATGTTAATATTCTAACTCAAGATCATTAAAAAAAAAACAAAAAAAAACTCTGGCTATAATAAAATACCAACAATTATTTTTGGTCATAAAACTACGTTCAAATATATTTTATATATAGCCAATCTATACACATGTTCAAGAACACATGATTATAATATCAACATATATGCTAAGCAAGAGTGTAGGTTTTCACTAAAGTCTTCAGATAAATAATTGAATTAAGGATATTATAATATATGAAACAAGAATCTTGACATATCTCTGACATAAGATATCAGTTGTCTTGTGTTTTTTTGTTTTTGTATATTTACTATGTTTGTTCTGCCATTTCAAATAAATCATTACTATTGTGTAAGAAGAATAAACTGTACTATAGTAAATTGTTCTTTCTCCTTTATGCTCTGAAAAACCATTTGTTCTGAATTGGCGTTACGTAGTTCAACTATTTCAATCAAGTCCATTATCTTCTTTTCTTTGAAAGATGCCTTTTTAGTAACCTGTATCCCCAGTGGGCAATGTCATGTTCTGTTTTTAGAAAGTAGGTGAAATTTAAATCCAACTACTTGTTCATTTTTTATGTTTGACAAAACAATTATATAATTCATCCTCAGGCAAGAACTCCACTATAGGCTGGAAGAACTATTTATGTAAAAATTATGGAGTCAAGCCCAAAAATTTCTCAAAAAAGTTATTTATTAGTTCACATTGGAGTCTTACCCCACAGAATGTCACCTAACTTGTGTAGCTTGTTTTTTCTAAGTACAAAATGTGTCTGTTCTTTGAGCTATATACTTTTCTCAACAGAAGTAACATGAAAGCAAAAAAGAACAAAACACTTTTTCTCTTGTTTTAAATCACACAATACCTCAGCAAAATTAATTTCATTAATTTGTATGTTGGTGTATAAATCGTGCTGGTCATATACGCATGTCTTGCAAATCCTTTCAAAATTAATCCTTTTCTAAGTATGCAAGAAAGAAGTATTCAGAGCAAATTCCAAAATTCAAAAAAATACTGTATCAAATACTTGGTATATAGGAACTGGTTAGGTATACCCGGCCGTTCTATGTTAATGAAGATTAACTTAAATTACATATCAAAACTTAGTAATTAAGAGACATTATGTATGCACAGTTGTTCTATATTTATGTCTCAGATATGGCAATATGTTTCCATAGAATTATTAAACTTTGTTCTATTTGAGTTAAGTAAAATAAAATAGTACACTTAAATACACACATTATTAAAAATCTAGACAATTTGTTTGGTATATAACTGTTTAGTGTAAGACCCATAAAATAAACTTGAAAATAAATACAAACACTGCACCAGCCCACAAAATTTTAACCCAATTATCCTCTAACCCAGAGCCCATGAAATGAGCATTACTTTTAAATCATTGGTATATATTCTTTCTTTAACCAATAAGTTAAGAGTGAAATGATTTAATGTTTGCAAAAATTTAAATGACAAATAAGAATCACTAAGTCATAACACCTATCAGTATTGTAGCATTTTTATCCAAGTGATTGCAAAATGTTCACCATTTCTACACCCTGTTCATAGCATTGAAATTCAGCCACCTCTAAAATGTTCAACCAGCATTTTAGTAAGGCTTCCTAGAACCAGAAAACTCTGCCTGACTACAGATACCTTGATAAACATGCCCATACTGCCCCATAAACACATCTTCAAGAAAGAGATAGCTACAAATAAAATAGTCCTTTCCTGTGGGTGTTGGTTAACCCCACAAACATGTGAACTTCCTATGGGCACACACCCAACAGACATTGGCGATTAGGTGATTGAAAATGTTGCCCACAAAGGCAAAATTTTATATGTGATGACATCACCAGCAAACCAGGGTTCCTCTGTGATATAATGATATAATTGCCTGGCTGAATGTGTCTCTTGAGTGTGTGTGTGTGAGAGAGAGAGAGAGAGAGAGAGAGAAAGACGGTTAAAGAACAGCATCATCAGAAATGCTATAACCTTCTGCAAGGTTTGCAAGAATCTTTCCACAGACCTTTGACTTTTTCCAGATTTAATACAGCTTAAGTTCATTCAAAAATGCATTTCCCACACGAGTAAATTGTGTTTTGTTTGGTTAGCACACTGTTAATCCTAAAATATACCCCGATGGGTCTGTCGAGATTTCTATACCAAATGAGGCATGTGTATCTGTATAATATGATGCAGGAGTTGCAGGGTCCCTTGAGACCTGCATTGGAACGGATAAGACGTCTTGGTTTTAAAGGTAATGAAAGGGTTAAAAATTGAGGCTGTCTGGGGTAAAAGAAAGGGGATATTGTTGTCTTTAATCTTTCCGCAGTATGTGTAAGACTTCCATCCCGGATCTGCACATAGCAGTGGAATAGGCTCGGCATGCATTGCGTGCAAGCTCCTTGATTGTAGAGGGGGGAAAAAAACCTGGCTGGAGTCCAGACAGGCTGGAGCTCTGTTGATCATTATGTCTAGCCTTCAGGTGTCTCAGCACACAGTGGGCGGCGGTGGGGGAGGTGTAGATAACATGAGAGCAGACAAAGAAAAAAAAATGGTGTATTTTAAAAAGATTATGTGAAAATTTGTGTCCAAGTCCTCTTTAAAAAATGAATCCTACCGTCTTGGACTTTTATAATTAGAACACAAGCTCTGCTCTGGCAGATCTCTTTAAGCCATAATTAGTTATGTCTGGAGCCTTTGAATAATTCCTTTCAATAATTGATGGAGTTGATACTCTCTTTTAAAAATAAGGAGGGCAATGTTTTCTTACAAACTCTCTTTTTGTTGGAGGCTTTGTCGTTCAAAATCTTCATCAGTCACAATCACATCGATTTGATGTGCCTTTTAATTTCTTATGAGACTTAGCTTATAACTTTTTAAGAATTTGGATGGTTCTAGAAGTAAAGGCATAACGCATTGCTAGATTACCCTAGCTCAATGTAAAAAGAAAGCAATAATACAGGATCATTCTTCCCCCATTTGTTTCCAATTATTTTATAAATAATAAAAAAAAAAAAAAACTGGTTTGTATGTCGCTTCTGTTTGAAACTCCATCAAAAAACCTTACCAAGCATGTGAGTTAGATGCTAAGTGTATCTTTTGCCTTCTAGTAAGAAGAAATCCCAAATTCTTTTATTCTTCAAGCATTCTATAAAGAAGCTTCCGCATGCTTCCTCCCCACCCCCACATCCTCACTCCACCCTATTTGGAATTTCAAAAAAAAAAAAAATCTTTATACATGGAAGGCTGGATCCTGACACAGAAAGCTGTCTTTTCCTTCTATCTTTACACTGACCACTTTACCCAGTCACCTTTCACTTCTGCCGGGACTTTATTTCCCATTTTGTGGACGAAAACACCGAAACCAGCTTGGTCTCTATCATTACTATGAAATGAAAAGTGGTGGTTAGAAAATAAATAAAAAGAAAGCTCTGGCTTGAAGCCATTGTTCAGAATTTAAGAGCTATTTGCCCCCAAGTGTCTTAGCAGTCTTTCATAGCTAATTATAATAACTGTCAGATGTCTGGAAAGTCTGTGGTATCCTTGTCAGTGGAGTCAGCAAAGTTTGCCTTTTATTTTTCTTGGGGACAGATCAGATCTGATTAGACATAAAGAACGAAAAGAAGTGAACTAAGTACATATGTGTGTGCCTTCATTTTTTCTTAGGAACAAAGCAGCATACAGGAGCAAGGTTCCGGGGTGCAGCCCTCCTGCAGCTACTCTTTGGAATGCCTGACTTTTATTTTTAATTCTTTATCCTTAACATAACAAAGCATGCAACAATTGTCCTCCCGAAACATCTTCCTGCCTGCCGAATACCTTTCCGGACACATACAAAAGAGTGCCCTAAAAATCCTCACATCTTTGATGCTTATGACATAAAACTATTTTCATCAGTACACTTGACGGAAAGAAATGTATACTTACAATTTCAAAATGGTTATTGGTGCTCGTTCCTTGTCCCCGGAGGCAGAGCAGGCTTTTGCCAGACTGTCCCTGGTACAGGTGCAGAATCCCCCGTTTTCCTGAAGGAGGGAGGCAGGAAAGCGCTTCCTAAAGTCACTCGGAACTCAGCCACTTGTGCCCGGGCATCCCTTGCTCCTGTAAAAGCTGTACTATCTGCAGTTCTGAATTGAACCAAATTACAGCCCATGTGAAAGACAGGAGCAGCGAGTCATGTGGGAGACACACAGCCATCCTATTGGCCACCGGGACATAGCTTAGGCATTCTGCCTTTTCCACCATTGGTGAATAGTTAAAACTGAAAGCATCTAGATCCTCCTCTTGAGCTTATTTGTCCTTTATGTGTGGAAGAATGACTGTAGGATTTTACAGTGACAGAATTAGTTAAGAAAGGGACTGAAGTCATCCTTCACAGAGACTAGTGGGAGGAGATTGGAAGCTCAGCTTTTTCAAGATTTTTTTTTTCCTTTGGATCCCCCTGCCCTGCAGTTTTGCCTGTGATTTGCCTGTTTGCCTGTCAGAAAAACGTGTTTGTTTATTTGTTTGTTTTCCCGGTTAACTTTGGAGGTGACAGAAAGTAAATTATCATCTCATTCCTTTGTGGAACTCAATCACGTTTTGAAGCACAACATCATTTTTTTTTTTCAGTGATGAATTCACAGATTTTATTTTGATAAAGAAGTTTTATTGCAGTTCTGAACTAGCAGGCTAAATTAGTCAATCGTGACACAGAAATAGAATTAACTTTTTGAGGAGCTATTACGTTTTGGAGAAAGCAGGTGGGAAAATAACTCTGGAAAACATTAAAAGGCAACAATGTCAAGGAAATCAAAGAAACGGCTTCAACTAAGCAGGGATGAAGAGGAAGTATAATTTTTCCAAAGTCATTTTTTAATTTACCTCTTACGGTAATGCAAAAATTTCTCAAAACTGGCAGCCAGAAGTTATATTTCAGCTATCTCAGGATGATTTCATTCATCTGATTCCTAAAAATCTCTGGTGAATTTGTAACGATTTAGAGGTACAAGTTATTTCAGAGATCAAGTCCCATGTTTCCAGCTTTGAAGGTGAGGAAAGTGGACTCCAACAAATAATAACTCTATTCATTTATACTGATCCACAGAGTTATGCAAAATAAGTGAAGGGATTTCTAAGTGAGTAGTAGTTTGCTCTTTCTTGCTGTGTACCTGCTAAGACCTAGTCAGTCTTGTTTAATTTAATCGTTGCAACAACCCATAGAGTCCATTTTATTACTTTTGTTTCTTGTTGGCAAAAACGGGTACTTTACTCCCATGGTTTTAATCCATATATGACTGATTGCATGTCCATTTTTTTCAACTAGATATGTTGCCTTCTAAAATAATAATGGTTATCATTGTTATAGGTACCTTCTTATTGTGTATGCCAGGTAATGTGTACAGCATCTCACATCATCTTATTTAATCTTTACAACTACTAATAAATAAGTTATTCTGTTATCCCTGTTTTGTAGATGAGAAAATGGGGCTTATACTACCCAGTGTCATGGAGTTGGTAGTTGATGGTACTTGATTCAAACCAACTCTCATTCATTTTACGCACCATATACGTTCTCATCATGATGCTGAATAAGTTTTTTTTTCTTTATTTTTTTCTGGTATAATATATTTGAATATTTCAGCATAAATGGAGAATATCTACTTCAGTCATGTAAGTGCGTTTGGTTCAGACCCAGACCATACCATTAAAAGTAATCCACATGTGACTATAAATAGGCATTAGAGTACCAGGCATGGAGCCATATTTTTCTCTGGGCCCCACAAGAGCCCTTGCACAGAATCTTGCAACAATAGAAGCTTCCATATTTGTTGAAGGAATGCACTTTTCCCAGAACATTAGTCTGGGGCTTAAGGAGCCCTTCTACTGGTTCAGAGCTTGAAACCCATGGAATAATAGGATCAGACAAGTCATGGATCCTTTCCAAAATGGCATCAAAAATTCCATTTCTGTTAGGGAAATATCAAGAGCCCTCATGGAGTTTCTTGAATGTGTCCCTGCAGCCTAAATCATATAAATTAAAGGGAACTCCCATTCACTCTTCCTACCCCTGTGTGGTCTATTTGTAGACTGGAGGTAATTTCTGAAGGAAATATGATTGCATCCTCATCACCTATCCAATCTAAAATACACACTGCTATCTCTTAGAATATGCTGTAGCTAGGATAGGTTAAGCAGGTCCAAAGTAGAATTAGAAGATAATTTTTAGTCCTCTGCTTTTTTGAATATTTCTCCTTCATTGAATGGTGCCTAGTTTCCCCTAAATTGTCATCATCCAGGGCACCTGGTTGGCTCAGTCCATTAAGCGTCTGCCTTCAGCTCAGGTCATGATCCCAGGGTCCTGGGATCGAGTCCCACATCGGGTTCCTTGCTCAGCGGGGAGCCTGCTTCTCCCTCTCCCTCTGCGCCTCCCCCTGCTGTGCTCTCTCTCTCTGTCAAATAAATAAATAAATAAAATCTTTAAAAATAAATAAATAGTCATCACCCCATGCTGTCCAGAATCTTTCTAGTTCTGCCTTCTCATATGACACCCTGTGATAGTATTATCTTGCCCTATTTTCATTAAATTTCTCTACTTGGCTGTAAATATTTCAAGGGCTAAATTGTATTTCACTATTTTAATCCCTCATAATGGAGATGAGATTAATTTTTGCTGATTTTTTTTTCTGTCTTGCAGTGACCTATTCACTAGAAGCCAACAGATCATAAAAAATCTGGTAGATAATGCTAGCATGTTAAAAAGAATATTTTAAAATAGAGTCCAAATAAATGAATCAGACACTGGAGGACAAATAAGGAAATCACCGTAAGACCACAGATTGTCCCCAATATTGGTCTAAATTAATCATATAGGACACTTACACTGACCAAACTGATTGGCACACATTTACATAACTCCTCGTTGTTGTCACCTACCAACTTTTTCTTCAGTCTTTCTCATTCACTGGACACCAGGCATCTGGGCCTCAGATTTCCCCTTCATCTCTAGTTCTGCCATCACCCCAGTTTAGTTCAGTGCTCACAAGGGCTATCCACTCAACACTCTAATATCTCACTTTACTGATATCAATTCTGATGACTTGGCCACCTCCACTCCCACCATAGTCACTTGCACCCAAAATGTACATTGGAAAAGTTTACTGTTAATATTGTAAAGTCAAGTCACCTACTCTCTATCTACCATTTTCAACCCTTCCACCTCTATTACTACACCTTTTTGATACTTCCAATTCTTTGGCTCCTCTGTTTTCTCCTTATCTATCATCCTCTTCCATATCCCATCCCCTTTCCTTTCATACTTCCTGCTCTATTATAGTCCGTATTCCAGGATGTCGTACAGCATCTGCTCAAGATACATAACTTTCTTGCCCTGTTTTCCTTCTGATGTCCCATCAGTCCCACCAGGCAAAACCCAATTTCAGATTCATCCAACTGATAATCTTCTCTAGGCTATTCTGGGCTTTCAAGAGCTGTTAGATAAAAATTTTATCTGTCTATAAAAGATGCTACTATGCTAAGCAAAATAAGTCAATCAGAGAAAGACATGTATCATATGATCTCATTGATATGAGGAATTCTTAATCTCAAACAAAGTGAGGGTTGCTGGAGTGGTGGGGGGTGGGAGGGATGGGGCGGCTGGGTGATAGACATTGGGGAGGGTATGTGCTATGGTGAGCGCTGTGAGTTGTGTAAGACTGTTGAATCACAGACCTGTACCTCTGAAACAAATAATACATTATATGTTAAAAAAAAAAAAAGATAGTAGGAAGGGAAAAATGAGGGGGGGAAATTGGAGGGGGAGACGAACCATGAGAGACTATGGACTCTGAGAAACAAACTGAGGGTTCTAGAGGGGAGGGGGTGGGAGGATGGGTTAGCCTGGTGATGGGTATTAAAGAGGGCACGTTCTGCATGGAGCCCTGGGTGTTATATGCAAACAATGAATCATGGAACACTACATCAAAAAAATAAGAAAGAAAGAAAGAGAGAGAGAGAAAGAAAGGAAGCAAAAAAGAAAAGGGGGAAGAGGAAAAGAAAAAAAAAGATGCTACTATAAGCTCATAGCCTCCAAATCTGATTACTCAATGCTGTATAAAACTGTTTGCCCATGTAGCTTTTTCACAATGTTTTCCAATCCTTTTTTTCTCTCTCTATCTACTCAATTGTTCTCCCTATATTGCATTGCCTTCCCATTCTCAGAGGGAACCAACAAACTTGCCAAAATGTAGATTCATCCTTTTCTCATTCCTTCCCATTACAATGGAAAAGTTTTTCAAGCTGCCCAAGGCAAATCAATTACAGGGTTCATAGATGATAACTTTTCAGAAATTTTTTCTTAGTTGTTTCTACCTTTCTCAAATTGTCAGCAGCTCCTTGCCTACAAAGTCTATTTATTAGCATTTTAGGAAGCTCAAGTTTCTTCAATATTTAAAAATTCCTGCCTTTGATACTAGGTCCCCTTTCCTGTATTCTGTCCTTCCTGGGCAAACCTCTTAAATAATTTAGTGACATTCACTATTTCTACTTTCTTTTCTCTCATTTCTCTACCTACTACAATCTGGCTTGTGTCCTTTCCATCTTTTTAAAATTAATTAATTTATTTTTAGCAAGATCACCAAATACCTTTGTGTTGCTTAATCTCATGAACAATTTTCAGTCCTTTTAATACTTGTGTTATTTAGGCATTTGATCACTTATTTAGGCATTTGATCACTTTCTCTTTCTTGGAGTATTCTTTCCTTTTGGTCTCATTTATTCCTGGTTTTCTTTTTCTTTCTTATGCCTCTCATTCTCTTTTATAAAAACTGGTTTTTCTCTTCTTGTTTCTAATATATTTGTGTTTTTCAGATTCCTTCTCAGACCCTATTCTCTTCTCACTCAACAGACTCTTAGTCACACTGTGAGCCTCTATGACTTCAGTCACCACACAGGTGACTTCCACTTTCTCTCCGAAGCCCTGGCCTTTTTCCTGAGGACCAGAACTGTAGATCCTGCTGTACCTCAACCCAATACATCCAACACTAAAGTCATCATCTCTTCCTCTAATCTGTGCATCTTTCATTGTTGACTGTCTCACTGAATAGTACACCAGGGACCAAAGACAGAAAACTTGGACCT